TGACCTGGCTGCAGAGATCCCTAATCTCCGTCCGTCCCGACCGTCCTACCCCCCGATACTCCGACACTCAGGCCCAATGACTGCGGCTGCTCACACAAGAGGAGGCGAAGGCTTTCACAGGAGACACTGGCTCTGGCAGGGAGAATGGCAGGGAAGGGAGGATGGCAGGGAAGGAAGGATGGCAGGGAAGGAAGGAAGGAAGGATGGCAGGGAAGGATGGCAGGAAGGCAGGAAGGCAGGCAGTCAGGAAGGCAGGAAGGCAGGAAGGCAGGAAGGCAGGAAGGCAGGAAGGAAGGAAGGAGCGAGCACTGTGGCTGCACGTGCTCCTGCAGGCTCCTGGAGCAGGACAATGAGGAGGACCAGGCTGCCTGTCAGTGTCACCCAAAGCACAGAGCGTGGCAGGCGGTCACCGAGGGCTGTGATCATCTGCACAGCTGCTGGAGAAGGATGAGTGGGATGCAGACTGGCCAGAAATTCCAGCACTTGTTGCCATAATGTGTTTCATGAATATATGTGCCTATTTCTACCTGTATGAATGAGATGGAAAATTATACTTTTCACTTTCTTTATATATATATAAAGTCATTTAGAAAGGTAAATTCTAGGTTTGAGTCTAACCAGTAAAACAAAACAGGTTGGCTATGAAGATAAAAGGTAATGTATTTGCTGTTCAGGAACACAAAGTGATAGAAGAGCAAACTATAGACAAAAGTCTTGAGTAAAATCAGAATTAGTAGGTAATTTCAGGGAGGAAGCCTGAAGGAAAAGGGAGTTTAGCAGAACTGGCAATTCCTTTAAATGATAATTAAAATATGAGTCCCAAGAATGCCAAAAGAAGTTGTTCCAGCATGGACCAAGGAAAGCAAAAGCAGTAAGAGGTTATACTGGCTACAATGTGATCTCTTCTTTCACAAGGTAGGGGTGTACAGTAAATAAAAGGTATTTTTTCTGCAAAATGTGGGATGAAACTCCTTAGTGAAAAGAACAACTGTGCACAGAGGAGACCCCACCACAGGAGCACAGCTGGGGAGCAGAGCTTTGGAAGGTGTCTGAGAGCCCAAGTGCGTCTCACAAGCTGGATGTGGTACTGGCTGTGCATCTGTCAGACACACCTTGCCTGGTGCCAGTTTTCCCAAACCCCCTTCCCAGCCAGCAGTGACCTCCTACATTGGAATTTGGACTGCCTCAGCTGGACAACTCCTCAAGAGTGTCCTCTGGAGTAGCCTTAAAATTTGCAACAGGGATATTAACTTCTTCCTTTCGGAGGTCAGTTCAGGATGTGTCTCAGTGTGTTGGTGTCGCAGAAGAGCAGAAAATTCAGAGATTTTGCTTTGTTCCTGTTGGCAAAATCAGGCAAGGGGGGCTGAGGTGTAAGGTGGAGTATGAATTTGTAGACTGCACTTTGGAAAGAATCTGGATGAGAATGAGGACAATGATCTCCAAAACATGACATGACAGAGGGGGCTGAAAAACAGGGGGAGTTTAGCCTGGGGCAGCCTATGAAAGAGGGGAACATGCAATATTCAAATCTTCAAATAGATAGAGGGTTGTTGCAAGAAGCTGAAGTTTTTCTGTGTCCTTGGCAGGTAGGGCAAGGAATAAGCAGCTCTGACTGCACTATGTTGGGGTTTTTTTAGACAACTGTTACTTTTATTTTTCTTTGGTTCTGAAGTGATTATGGATGCCATGATAGTTTATAGCTGCCTGCAGCTCTTTCCTTGTCATTTCTGGATGACTGTAGATGAACTTTCAACATCTGTAGAACTTGATGACTTCAACTTTGGAAGCTGAACAAGTCTCACACATTATTTTATGTACTGGAGCAAGAGTCTAGCGTGGGGTAGGGCAGCACTTTGAATAATTGAATTATTTCTGCAGAACGATTGAGAAATGTGGTTCATTTCTGTTCCTTTCATCTATTCTGAAAGGGTCAAACAGGATAGTCTCTGATGATTTCTGCAGGATATGTCTAGTATTTCCTAAAGGCTTTCTGTAGGGGCACTGTTGAAGGGAAAGCCAGGTGAAGGGAAGGACTTTTGTGTGGAGGCCACCCAGACCCCTGCAGTGGAGCACTGTCCTCAGGACACTGCCTCTGCTCAGGGAAAACCATCTGCTGGAGTAAATGGGATGTTTTCCAGTGGGGATGCTTGAATGGGTGTTACTGCTGGGTGTGCAAACTCACCAGCTCATCCTGGCTGTAGGTGCTGCACGGCTCTTGCTGACACCTTGCTCTGCTTTCCATGTCCACCACGCTCAGCCCTGGTTTGTGCCCATCACCCTGTGGAAATGCAGGAGAGTTTCTGTGGCAAATGGGAACTTAGCACCCCTGAATTCCCCTGAAGGATCCCACTCTAAATCACTGAGTCTAGAGGAAATAAGAAGCTCGTGAATGAGTTATTGTGCTTTCTGAAGCAGCTGTAGGATTGTTTTTGGTAATGGTCCAGTGAAGTTTGATATTGTGATAAGAGCCATGGGGGCTGGTGACAGAATTACGTTTTTCCAATTTATAGAGAATCAATTAACATTTATTTCTCTTGCTTCAGAATTGACATGTGCATTTTTATTTAGGATCATCATCTGAACCATAGTTCAGATGATGATCAGAGAAAATGCAGGTCTCTTAATCAAATTTAATGAGAATGAATCATTTTTGCTGACTGATTTTAATACTGGGCTTTAGGGATGTTGTAGAAGAAACATGCTTTATAAGCTGAAAGTATCTCCTGACACACTATCTGCCCTTCCCTGCTGGTTGGTGATGGTAAGTCATTGCATACCACCACATTTTTAAGCAATCTGTGCGAGGGAGTCTGAGGCAGCTGTGTAGTTTTAAGGATTAAGGTAGGACCCTGGCTCGGTTTCCATTTTCAGATTTCTGACAACCCCTTCTTTCAACAAAAATGAAGTAAATCTATGACACAAATGTAGTGAGAAGGACTGCTACAGATGTGCCAGCAAAGAGGAAAGGAGCATGCCTTCTCAAAAGCCTCATCATTTGTGCTTTCCTAATTATGTCACTGAAATCAGAAAGGAAAAACTCAGTCAGCCACAGTGAGATATTCCTCACCCAAGTGTTCCTGCAGGGATGGAGTAGGCCATGGGGAGGCTTGTTTTCTGGGCACAGTGAAAAACTCTGAGCTTGGCATGCTGGAAATCATGATCTGTTTCTGGAGCATGGTACCAGATTTTAGGAATGGAAGTGTGAGCACTGCTGTAGATTTGCCAGGATGGATGTAGAGATGTCCTCTCAGCTGAGAGAGGGATCCTGACAGTGCTGTCCCACACAGTGTCCCTGAATGCTTCTGTCCTCCTGCCAAGTATCTGCTCCTCACATTTCAGGTGCACCTCATCTTTGTGCTCTCCCTGTACCTCCTCCTTGCTCCCAGTTCTTCCAAGCACCTCCTCAGAGCCAGCTGGGCTCCTAGGTTTGTCAATTTGCAAACCAGTAGAGGGGATGGTGAGGACAATTTTTCACATGTTGGTGTTTGGCAGTGCCAGTGCCCGTCAGTCACTCTGTCCTCAGCCTTCATTACCACATCTCTTTTTCCTGGCACATCACCCCTTGTTCCCTCAGCAGAGTGCCAGGACCAGCTTTTCTCACTCTGGGGTTTGTGCTCAGATCTGCTCACTGCTTTTCACTTGGGTGGCTCATTCCTCATCCTTCTTCCCTGCTAGCTTTTTGGACTCCTCTCCATTTTGGCCAGTTTTCTCTTTTTTCAGCAGCTCAGTTCTTCTTGCTGTTGCTACTTTCTAGCTTCATGTGTAAACACAGTGAAAAAAGTGTGAGCAAGAGGGGTGAAGGGAAGTTCAGGTGTTTGGGGAGAGGCTTGAATAGCATGTCAGTAGGGATGATCTTGAGCAGCCTTGCTTCTGACCACATGTGAAGATCAGGGATGTAGATGGGTGCCCAGCAGCCCAACAAAGCTGGTGGGTTATTCTCTGAGTTATTCTCAGCTCTTCTCCATTTGGGCAGGCATAGAAACCCCACACAGCCTCCTCAGAGCTGAATCAGGTGTTACCTCCTGCTACTGGAAATAGATGTGTTTCAGTTGGCATTTGTGTCATGAATTAGCCAATGCTGTTTTAACCTCGGAAAGGCAAAGAGGTTTGGTTAAATGAAATGAGCCTGGCTGGACACACACAGGGGCAGAGTTGCTGCCTGTGTCCCCCTCTGCCAGCCCTGCTCTGAAAACAGCAACCCACAGGGTCCTCCTTCCTTTGGCACAGAGCTTGAGTCCAGCTTTACTCATGGGAATGCAATTCGGATGAATATTACATGTATTTATTTAGGAATGCATGTATCTAGTGTTAACAACAGGGATACTAATTAATGCAGATCGTTGTGTCTGATTTCTATCATGCTAATAGCCATTCAGTTGCTAAGTGCTCAGCAGCAGTTTCCCTTAATGGAGCTCCTAATATCAGCCCTTATGTTACTCCATGGTTAAAACAAGATGAGTTTAAAATCTGCCCTTAGGAGGGAAAAGGACATTCTGTGCTTTATCAACCTTCCTGCCAGGCTCTCCATGGGGACCTAAAGAGACACACTCAATATCAGTCTGAATGTGTCTTTAGAGAGATTGATAGAATTTTGCTTGATAGTGAAGGTGAAAGTGAAAACTAAGTTATTATTGAATTGATTAAAAGAGAAGGTGGTCATGGATGGGCTACTGGGAGAGGGGGTGTGCCAGACAGGGCTGCAGCAGCCACAGGCAGCACGGTGCTGCCATGAGCATCAAAGGCAGCAAAGAAGACAGAGCAGTTGGCCAGCCTGTTCACAGTCTGTGGCAGCCTGGTGATTTGCTGAGGGCCATAATTTAGTCTCTTCATTACTTTTGGTACATTGGAACTGCATCTCTGAAGCTCCCATTGGGTCTCAGATGGCAAAACCCACTACCTCCTTTTTTAACTTCTTTCTGTCAAAGTGAGGGAAAAATATTTGTCCATAAACATGTAACAGTATTGAATGCACCAAAGCAGAAGAGCAGCATGTTGGAGGTATGGCAGAGGAAGAGGATGGCACACCTGGTGTAATGACATTGAACGCACCAAAGCAGAAGAGCAGCATGTTGGAGGTATGGCAGAGGAAGAGGATGGCAGCCTGGTGGAGGCAGGACCAGTTCAGTTCTGCAGTGCAGAGATGTGAATCTGAGGGCTGGGGCAAGGCTGGGGGGGCTGCCCAGCAGCTCTGGCTCTGGGGCTCTGGGCAGCTCTCTCCTGCTCCCCACCTCCAGTGTGCCCAAATCTCATGTTTCACTACTGCCTTGCAACCTGGGGAGAGGACCTTGGTTTCATATCCTACTCTGCTATATAATACTCTTCATTACAAAAGGTGCTTTGAGAATAATCAGGACTGCTTTCTCTCTCTGAGGCTTCTTAATTTTGGTTTAGTCCTGTGTAGCTTTAATGTCTTGCACTCGTGGCTATGAAAACACTGGGGCCACACTGCTCCCCCCTTCCAGGACTCTCAGCTCTCTGAATTCAGCCCCCTTGGCTCCTCCCTGCCTCTGAGGCCTGCACTGTGAGGAATCTGAATTTCTGCTGCACTTGGTATCGCTTTCTGCCAACACTGCTCTCTCCACCCATCCTTTCCTCTGCCTGATCTGCCTTTGATCTCACAGTGCTCCTACAGATGAACCCTTGTGGCTTCTCGAGGTGTTCCTGGCAGCAAGCTGTGGATCCTCCTCCTCTGCCTGTGATTATCCTCTCAGTCAGAGGGTGCTCAGACCTGTTCCCTGGGTGCTTCTGTGCCAGGCTGCGGGTGATAGGGATGGGTGATCCCACCTGCAGTCCCTGTCACAGGGGTGGGAGTCCCTCAAGGAGGGCTAGCTGAAAGCTGAGGGTATCACTGCCTTCACCCTCCCTGGTTAAACCCACCAGAGGTGGTGGGCTTGGGTCTCCAGATGCCGTCCTGCCTGGGATCCCAGATATTGAATGCCTTCAGCTTCTTACATATTTGCCAAAGCTCACTGCAGCTCCCCTAGCCCTGTTATTTGTCCTTTTTACAATTATTCTGACTCAGAGTTATCAGAATTACAAGTTGTCTCTGATGTACTTCTGATCCTGCCCTAGAGCCAGGGCAGGGAATTGTCCACGCTCTCCCTTTGGAGCACACAGGCTGCTAGAATTTAAGTGTGTTCACAGCCTTTACTGACTTCACTCCTCATGTCTCCTCTCACAAATACTTTTTTCCCTTCTCCTTTTCATGATAAAGTGAGAATTAAGGTTTTGTTTTAATTGCACATCTATGCTTAGATGTCCTGCTGCCTTCTTTTTCAAACAGCAGCTTTGTCGGGCTGAACTATTAAAATCTTATTAAATACAATTAAGAATAGACATTCATCTTCTTGAAACTGCTGGTCCTTGCTCTGAGATCTAGCTCTGCCTTCATTTTTTTCTACTGTATTTACAAATGTCTGTCAGACCTGGTGCTTGGTGTAATGTGGCAGAGTGCTGCCTATTTAAATAGCTGAGACTCCAGTCTGTTACAATGTGTATAGGCTTTCCTGCCTTGAATTGACTGCCTTGGCTCTGGCATTTGGCTCTGAAATATGCGACTCAGAAAACAGAGCTGGAGCAATAAATATTGACTAATACAAAGTAATGTATCTCCGGAGAGTTTCTTTATCTGCATCAAAAGCTTTTAGGGCTGCTGTTGTGAAGGGGCTGCTGACAATAGATTTGCAAGAGTGTAGAGCAGTCTCACATGGCCCAGCTGAGCATGCAGGGTTTGACTGCTGGGTGAAAGTCTTCCAAGGGTTAGGATAAGTCCTCCAAGGAGCTGGTGTTTGTGTTCAGATCCACGGAGTCTGTCTTGCATGTGCAAATACGAGCCTGAGACTCTTGCATAGGCAATAAGCTCTTATTCAAAAGAGGCTCTGGTTTCACTGGCAAACATGACTGTTTCTCTCCACGTCCTGTATCCAAACTATAGCTTTCTGTAAGAAATGTGACTTGAACTGTATGTTCTGTCCTGCTACAGTGATGCTCGATTTCTAGCATGGCCATGTCCAGTGTCAGCTCCCCTCCCCCCCACACACATTATGCTATGACAGGATGTAACTAATGGTTTCTCACGCTTGGGATCTAAAGCAAATTCCTAACATTTGCCATTCCTTATCTCTAGACACCTGATAACTCCGATCTGATAGGTGGTGCTTGACTTTTTAGGTACCGTTTATAAATCCTGACATGTAACACCTTTCCATGGATCTTTCAGAAGGTGATGGCTGAATACTGGATGCTAACTCCTGTGTGCAGGATGTGCCTGGGGGTGGATGCTGATGTGAGCCCCGGTGTAACCGCACTGCTCCCGCTCCTGCAGGCAGCCGCCTCCTCCTGTACCTCCACCCGGCGCTCCTTCTCCCTGACCTGGCAGGGGTCCCGGAGGTTCCTCGCTGTCCCTGCTAGG